TGCTGTGTTGCAGATTTTATTCATTGTAACCCGCTCCTGGTTCTCGGGGATTCCCACGTGGCATGTAGATAAAACAGAATAAATTCTCAAAGTTCCACCAGACCCCTGACAGTGATCACTTGATGTCAAAACCTTCTCGTCTCAAGCAAGCCTTGTGCGCCTCTATGAAATCAGCACAGTTAGCCTCTCCTTTCTGAACAACACATTCATCTCTCTTCGCTTTTGTGTCTGGACAACTGAGGGATCGAGTCAGCAAACAAACAGGCAGAGCACGAGGGCTTACGAGCAACAAACTTTCTTTCCCGAGTATCTGCAGACAAAGACCATGATGAGAAGGTTGCGGTCAGCATCTCATCTCGTTACCTTCCCAGCTGCTTCCCGTCCTTGTCGTATGTGATGGGGGGGAGTGCAGAATCAGAAGAGCCGAGCATTCTACTGCGCCAGCTATCAAAACAGAGCAAACGGAGCAAAGGGGAAAGGGGGAGGGGGGAAAGGAAGCGAGGGAAAGGAATCCAGTTTTGTACGAGGATGTGTAGTATTGTAACAGACTATCCTGTGATTCAAACTCATCGTAACGTGCTGGAAAGCGCCACACTCACAATAATCAATCGCTAATGATGGGTGCGAGCAACGTTGCGGTCGTTACTTCTCACCACAGAAGGCTGGGCCTATTTCAAGGCAGCAACAAGCATGTGATCCTCTCCTCCTCTGCATGTAACCTTGTTCGTACTCCTCTGAATGCAGCGTGTTCACTCTACATAGTCTACTACTGCCCCTGTCCCACTAATCCGCGCAAACCCCCATGAACTCCATTCATCCCCTGACTTTCGTCCCACCATCCCAATATTTCCATCTTTGCTTCCTCCGTCTGTTCCATGCTCTCTCTACCTTCCATCTCACATGATTGATCCCTACATGCCGACATCCTCCTCCTTCGCCGTTCCACATGCGCCCAGTGCTGTTACTCTGCCTCCCCTTTCTTTCCCTCGCATCAATCCCCATGAATCTCCTGTCGCTCTCCTCCCTCCTCTTTCCTCCCTCAGCTTCTCTGACCATCATCGCAATCCTTCTCCTCCTCTCCTCCTCTCCTCCTCTCCTCCTCTCCTCCTCTCCTCCTCTCCTCCCTCTTGGCGCTTCCCTCGCCATTCTCTTCATCTCCTTCACCTTGAGTCTCTAGAACGTGACAGTACCGGTTAATATCTCTTGAACAATTGGGGTGGGGTGGGATTATTCGAGGGGGTGGGTACTACCATGAGGACGAGGGGGTCATAAGGGTGGGGTCAGCGAGTCAGCAGACAAAGCGAATGTACGGGGATGAGGGTAACGATTTTAGGACTTGAGGGAGGATGCGGGTAAATGGATCATGGCGACTAGAACGACAGGCTGAGAGGAAAGGGACGAGAGAGAGGAGGAGCGACGAAGGTCAACAAGATGGCGATGAGTGTCTATGGTGATAAGGCTGCTGTCGTGAGGCCAACCGCTCGATGCCATGAGAGGGGATCCAGCTGTTGGCTGAGGGTTGTCAGAGTGAGGCAGGAGATTTGAACTCTGGACATGGTACTGGGCTGATCAGGAGGTATGAAGATAGATACTGACTCGCTGAGAAGCCACCTGAAGCTTCGATGCTTCAACATTGACCTGGAGGTCTTGTGCGAACAGCAGACGGTTGAGAACCTGAGGTCATTCTTCCTGTCGTTTCCGCGAGGTTTTCGGTTGTCGCAGACCGTTTCACTACTCCGAGCATGCACGGACGTCACAGACGCTCAGGCTATGGACGTGTTCGATCTTCTTGATTGTGATGGCAGAGGTTGTCTGAGATTCACAGAATTTTATTTCCTGTGCTGCTTGCTGGTGGCCTACTGCCGTCGGGAGTTGAAGAAATTCATGTACCAACGCTGGGATGACATATCCCGACTGCTGCAAGCGAAGTCTCGAGACAGAGAGATCAGCACAGGCTCCAAGGTCGTCAAGGTGCCTGTTGTGAGCGTTTGCTGCTTCTTCCGCATCCTCGGGCAAGAGAGGGACCTCTTCTCAAAGATGGAGCAACTCAGACTGAGCAAACGCGACCTCAACAGGAACGAGCTGGAAACCCTCTTCTTTGCCTTGTTTCATGATTTCGACGAGGAGATTCAAGAAAACTTTCTTCCTGATGAGCCAACCAAAGACGGAGAAGGAACCTCTGTACCTAACAAAACACGAGTTTGCACTGTGTCATGATGGGATTGACCTCTGCTGTACAACTCAACCTGCGAGATTGGTTCTCAACGCGCGGAAGGACAAGTTTTATTGATCTCCTTCACTTAAAAAAAATAACAATTTGTTGTGGATAAAACGAAGAAAATGTGTCAAAGTTCATTCCTTGTACAAGAGAAAAATATCACATCGAGAATATGTGTACAGCTGAATCATTTCCATAATTCCTCCATCCCTTGAAATGTTGCTTTCAGGAGAGACGGAGATTCTTGTGCAATTTCCTAGCATACATACGAGTTCGTTTCGCCCCTATTGTGTCACACAGAAGATCCTGAGAGGTGCTCGACCGTTGACCGGATGCTTGCCATGCTTCACAAGGGTTCGGCAGCGACATGCGGCGGGTGCAGGGTCGGGAGGTGGTATTTCCCGTTGGAAAGGCCTGTCAAAACCTGCAAGAGGCGTCAAAGAAGAGACGGCAGGAAGAGGTTCGCTACCTCAACAACAAACAATGCTACTCCCAGCTGTGGAGCCTTCAGCATGACTCTCGGCTTGACGCCTACAAAGAACCCCTTGAAGCCTTCCTCCGCTGCGATCTTGCTGAACGTCGATGCAATCGACATTCGCGCCTGTCATCATCACATGAATTTGTGCGACAGCGTACGCTCTTCTTACCCCCGAGCCAGCAGCAGCCTGCATCCTGGTCTTGATCACGTCTGCTGGCGTGGTAATGAAGGAAACAGGAAGGGCAGAGACTGTTGCCGCTCCAAGCGTCTCCAAGAAACCGAGTGTATCACGATCGCCAAGCATGCTGGCCTTTATCCGGCTGTACAGTGTGAAGTATAGAGCAGCGAAAGGAACTTCTCGCAACATGGTAGCTGACGCCCTGCGCAACGCTCAGCAACAATGCCTCCTAGGAAAAACTCCTCACCCCTTGTACAGGCCCGAAACGCCGAGCTTCTTCACGACAGCCATCGGATTGTTGACGGCAGCTTTCTGTTGGCTGAGTAGCTGCATCTGAATCCTGAAAATAATCGAATCACAATGGCAAACGGAAGCGATAAGATAGAATTCACATGATCATCTCCTTGGGACTGGAAAACAATGCCTGGCACGCGCCGGAGAAGCCCCCCGTCATAAGTTCGAGGGCAAGGGGAAGTCTACGACATGCCCGCCGTCAACCAAACTTCCATGATGGGTGCAAATGGATCACCTGCCCTTGCTGTCTTCATACCCACTGAACGTCTTCTTCACCACAGCATTGCAGCCAAACATCGTTGCCTTCTCAGGGGCAACCACCAACACTGTACCACCAAGACCCTTATACAATCCAGGGATTCCCTCGTTCTTGATGACATTGAGCATGGTGGGAAAAAACTGAGCGCGTCCCGCAGCCCTGCCTGCTGCCTGCATCCTCATCTTCACCGCATCCCCAGGGTACAAAGCAGCGAGCCCTGCAAGTAAAAGTTACAAGGCCGTAGAATCAACACCAAGGCAACAAGAAAAACTGACCAGCTGCTCCTCCAATTGCGCCGAAGAGGAAACTTTCCATGCTCTTCATTGTCTTCCCAATATTTTGCAGACTGCTCTCGACTGCCTGATTCACCTTGGGCCTCCAATCGTCCTTGCACATGGATGATTGGAACAGATGCCTTCCTGGCCCAACTTCCCATCCACGAGGAAGAGGAAGATATGCCCCTTGAATGCTTGATCCCCCAGAAGCAGACGAACTTGACTGCGGCATGAACATCTCCCCTTGTGCAGCTGCAAGCCCGCAGAATACGAGTGAGAGCAGAAGAAGCGAACGACTATGGCACTGCATTCTTGATCTGCTACAGCGTGCGCTTCCTGTCATGTCAACCTCCCCTTCAAGTCTCATGGATTTGCTCCATGCGTGTGCCTTTGAAGACGAATTTCTTGAACGCATCGCACGTCCTTCTCTTGACACCCTGAAATTCCTGATCGGAGAAGGTCTGCTCTATGGACCTACAGTTGATGTTCCCGATAGGACCTCGTTGTTCCTCTCCTTCGAATCTTCGTAGATTCTCCTGAGTCTGGCAGAGCTTCAAACTTCAGATGCGCTTGCTTGCCCAGCGATCTTGCAACGCTGGCTCCCGCACGAAACTATCAGACTTTTTCGCCTGCAGCAGTCCCCTTTCAACTTTCCTGGAGGTTTAACTGGCAATCAAACGTGCTCTTTCACGACCTATCAGTGAGAACGTCTAGAATTGATGCTTGTCTGCTACCTCTTCTCTTTCTGGGTCCTCTTCTTCACGCTGCGATGCTTACAACCCGCGTCCCGCCATTGAGGGTCAACGCGAACACGTGACTGTTGCCAGACCACCCCTTGGTCGAGTTGAGCTAACCACTCACCCCTCCACATCAGCCTCTACCCCTTCATTTGACTTTCACAGTACCCCACTTTTAGCTAGTATGGGCTGACGATTTGACCCCACCCTAGGGCATCCCTGTCGGCCTCCATTCCCTTGCAAAGGATCCGCTGGTCAACAAGAGACTACCCACCCGGGTGACACCGTCAAATCTATAGGAAAATTGTACCCCACTACCACCATGTTCTTTTACTTAATAACTCGACCCCTGTCAACCACCCCACCAAGGCTCCCACAAACCAAGATAGGGTGGGTGTAGGACCCTATGTCAACAATATTTTTAGGACCCCCACAGACAAGGCGTGGGTAGAGGTCTGTACCCCTACCCTATATATGAAAGTCAAAGTACCCACCCTTTTTACTTCCTCAAGTCTTGAGAGATTCCTCAAGTTTTCCCTCCCCAAGTATCCCCAGGGAGGGTGGGCGGGTCTATCTAGAGATGATCGAGCTGGCTCGTCGATAGTGGAGGGGTGGGGTACAGACAGTTCTACTTGATGTCCTGGTTTCGGGTCAGGCAAGGAAATCTCGAAATAATCTCTAAATTATTTTATCAATTTTGAAGTTTCAGATAAAATTTGATTATACATTTCCGAATGCTTTCCTTTCCATGGGTCAACGGGCTAGTTCTGGAAGTTGATGACGAGATTGAGCCAGTGGAGGGAGGGTTGAGGAGTCGGAAAAGGGGTGGTGGGGTGGAGAAAGTGTAGGGGGGGTCGCAAGAAACGCCTTAAATAGAACTTTCCAAATAATTACTGAAATATTTGCTTTTGATTTGAAATTTACATTGAATATTGTAAATAAGTTTAAAGTTGACCTACGCCCCAAAAGAACGGGCCATCCCTCCTCTCCTTCAACTCATTATTGACCTCTGATGGGGATACTGGCAGACCAGATATTGTAACGTATTTTGTTCCCGTTAGGAATTGTAACTGCATCGTAACGTACAGCATCGAAGAGTCGCGATGAGCGGGGGGCGAGGAATGGGAGGGAAGAAGGCGATGGTGTGGGGAGGGTTGATGATGCTAGCGATGATGATGACGACTACGATCATCAGTCATATGAAGGGAGGGAAGGGCAGCATGATGGCATCTCAACCCTCCACCATGATGAGCGACGGTGGGCGATGGTTTTCTGGGAGGGCTGGGCTCAACGTGCCATCGGATGGAACGAAGCATGGAGTGCTAGAGGGAGGGTATGGACAGCCGAGCAAGAGAGGTAGTGGAACGTACATGGACGGAATCCCAGAGGCCATGGTGTACGCAGGAAGTGTGAACCCCTACAAGGATCTTGCGCACCATTCGAGGACCGAGCGCGGGCTGCCTCAGATTCGTCATCGATTTCAACCGTCAGCAGGGAGCGTTGGTTATGGAAGCAACAAGATTTTCTCAGCCAACCAAGCAGAAAGAGATTTGGAGGTGATGAAGGACTTCGGCCTTGTGTCAGCACAGAAATACAAGCAGGAGAAGACCAGGATCCGAGGGCCTGACTTCCCGGGCTCGAGATCGTCCGCTCCTTCCGTGCACTTGCCAGAGGGCTGGGGGAGCTCGACGGCCACCTGCAGGGAAGTCACCACCAAGGTTGCTGGGCTGAGCCAGTCCGGCTGGGCCCAGATGAACACTTTGAAGTGCTGCAATTATCTCTGCTCTCAGAACGAGTGGGGGCAACTGCGCGAAGGGAAGCTGATCTGGGGCATGGGATCGAGCAATCGCTACAGCTCTGCCATCAGCACTCCCAGTGCTGTCAAGCTGGCCGACGGCACCAACAAATATATGTGCCGTACGTGCGCATGGAACAAGTAACTGTACCCTTGCACATGTGCCATCAAGGGTTGACCGCTTGCTTGCAGGGAGCCTTCATGGAACGAGTTCGGTCTCAACAACCTCCCCAAGATGGAGGGGCACCTGTGCAACGCCACTAGCCCATCGTCAGCTACGGGCGGTCTTGACTTGGGGGGAGATGGAGTGCATGCGCTAGATGATTGCCCAGACGAGGTCCTCGGAGACTTCACGCAGGTATGGAACAGGATTGGAGAGATGGCTGTGCTGATAGTTGATGCAGATCGGTGAAGGTGGTCATCTGGCAACATTGGGCGATGGTCCTGCTGGGATGAACCAAGATGGGCCCATGGGATGGGACTATCCGATCCCTCCAGTCCCTCAGTGAAGTCAGAGTAGTACTGTATCAAATAGTTAACGAGTTTTGATTCTATTTTCTAGTAATATCCCTCATCGTACCAGTAAACCTTTTTTTTTGTCTCGAAACTTCCATCGTGCAGGGTATCATCGAGGGAGGATGTTCGGAGAGCACTTAGTACAGCAAAAACCACAAACACGCCAGAGACAAGAGCCGACCTGTTCAAGTTATAAGTGCAATATGTCGCAGATCGAAATCTCCTCACAATCTTAAGCAGCGGCTTCAGGACTGGAAGTAAAAACCTCGATGCAAGTTGCCTGTCAAAGCATCACCGTAGCCTGGTCGAAGGACAGGCAAAGCATGTACCGCCCAAAGGGGATGTAACTCAAAGAGTACCAGATCAGAGCAGCAAACTGTATTCCTACAAAGATGATGACCTGGTTTAGCATGTTAGAACACACAATCGGTGAACCTCTGCGCACACCAGAATGTATATTCGCAACCCCATAGCCGCATAGATTGTTCCAACCATGCTCCCAAAGTAGGCAATGGAGGCCATGGCTCGATGGCTAAACGATCATATTTCAGCATGGAGCAAGAGAGATATAGGATGGTCCACCCTGTCCACATGTTTTGACATTGCTTCTTCGGTCCAACCAAGAATATCGTGCTGGGAGTCGACCCTAAGACCAAGCGTACAGAAAACAAGGCAAGTACCTTAACATCATGAGAAGATTTCCAAGACTGTATGCAACAGCGAATTTGTGAGGTTTGATCACTGAAATTCAACGATTATCTTGCAGATCACAATAGATCCTCCTCGTCACCGATCAATGGTAGCATGAGCGTCGACAAGAAGGTGAAGAAGATCCCCGAGAGTAGACATATTCCGAAACCAATCAAACGTTTCTGAGCTCTAGAATGAGCTTGAGAGAAAATTCGCATGTGTGATAACCTTGTATGAGAGGGTCATGGCTTCATCTACATACTCGGACACTGTTTCTGGCTCCTTTTGCTGCCCAGTGATGAGGGTCTTGAAGCAAAATTAGTCTGAGAGCATGGTTGAGTCGGGAAGACCTTCATGGATTCAGCCTGCTGCGACACTGTTCCAAGCGGAGAAGATCGTACTGCCCCTTCAATGGCATGCTCAATCTCCTTGGAATCAGTCTCATGAAAAGGACACCTGAAACGTTCTCGGAGAACTTGGAGGCTGTGGAGTGTAACGCCTGTATCCTGCAAGCAGCATGTGGTCAGAGAGACCTGCTAGAGTTGATCGTCGTCAAGAGGCCTTACTGCTGGTTGTCTTTCACTTTGTTGAAAGCCATTGTGCCTGCATCCTTGACGGAGCTCATCCATGATGACATCTGCCATGGACCTTTCAGACTCTAGTTGCTCTGAAGCATTGACATGCACACCTGAGCCGTTACGTTGGATGCAACCCCCGAGACTCCCCCTGTAGCCTCTGGCCTTTTAAGCTCTTTCAGCTCAGCTCGCAGAAATATTTGCACAAACAACAAACAAATTGGATTACTGATTAACTGACCTCAAATGTCCTATACTCTAAACTGTGCTCGCTACCCAGCTTTCTGTCAGTTCTCCATCCAATCCAGTCCTTTACTACTATAAACATTTTCTTTTCTGCATCCAGTACCTATCCATCAAGCTGTTTCCTCGTTTCCTCCTCTTTCACATAGTCGACGTGTCCTTTATCTCCAATGGGTCTACCATCATATGCATGCTTTCTTCCTCTACCCTGTCTCCCTCCTCTTCCTCTCTCCTGCCCCTCCTGCCCCTCCTGCCTCTCCTCTCCTCGTCTCCCTTCCTCTCTTACCTGGGTACATGCCCGAAGGGTGTTTCCGCCATTGCTCTTGCTCGCGCTATCTTGATCGCTGCTCCTGCTCCACCACCTCACCTTCTTGTTTCATTTCCCCTACCCCACCCTCCCAAATCCTCACCCCCTTCCGATAAGTTAAGTGAACAAAGTCGTACCCGTACTATCCAATGAATTGTGCTTGAAAGAAGGGGTACTTGATACACCCCACCCCCCATAGCAAAAACGATCCACCAAATCGAACATGCCTTGATTTTAACTTAACTTTGAGTAAACGTACATGCCACTGCTCGTACTTCCGAATCAGTCTCAGTAAGGGCGGGCCGCCTCCGGGGAGTCCCGTCGCCGGCCGAGGGGCCGGCTCGGCCCAGCTGAGCCTCCGGGACGGTCCCCCGGGCCCGCGCGGCGGCAACCGCCGCCCTGCCGCAGTGGGCCCGCCGGCCTGCGCCAGGTTACAGGCCACTGAGCAGCCCTGGCAGCCATGCCACTGACCGAGCCTCGCGGCCTGACGATCCGATCCGAGCCATCGCCGAGCCCGGCGCCGCCGGGGCGGCCGCCGGGCCGCTTGTCAGACGGTGTAGCCTACCGTCTGAGCCCGGCCTGCCGCGGGGCGGCCGCCGCTCGGAGAAGACGGTTAACTTGGGCCCAGTGGCTAACTTGACAACGCCGGTTCAACGGTTCAACGGTTGAGACCGCCAAGGGCCTCAAATTGCCAGGGTCCCCCCGGGCCTACCGTACGGTACCGCGCGCGTGGATATTTGATACTCGAAACTGATCCGAACAAAACTTGAAAACTGCCAGGCCGGCCAGCCAGTGACGCCGGACTGTTTACGTAGGGGCTACAAGTTGAGCGGCTTATCTTGTGCTCAAGAGTGTACTGAGGTGATGATGCGGATATTCAACCGTTGAACGGCTCTTAACCGACGGCGAGTCAACACGATACGGCACGGGTTGCAACAATGTGATGTACTGAGCCACAAGGAAGTTCTTTCCTCAATGCTTCGTCGAGTTGTTTGTAGGCAGAGGCTGCAGCGCCGGCATCGTGCTAAGATCGCTCGCCGAAGACTTGAGCTGTGAAGCAAAGGAGGTGACGCGAGCAACCTGCAGTCAACAATGACGTCACCTGAGAGATGATGAGGATGCAGGCGAAGACGACGACCGCCACGACGATGCCGTACATGATCCACTGTTGCCGGGTCGTCAATTCACTGCCTCCTCCCCCTTCACCACCTTATTCTGAGTAATTCTCTTCTGCATCAGCCTGACGAGCCGTCGGCTTTCGCCTCTGCTCGCAACGCATCAGCCTCGGAGTCGGAGGGGAAGGAGAGAGGGAGGTAGACAGCTCACAGGTTGTTGTCGACATCGGACAAGGAATCACGAGCATGCAGCAAGGTCTCTCGCTGCTGCAGCAGATCCTAATGTCAAGGCACCGTCAGGTTCTTCCCCTTCCCGTCTCTCCCGCCAACCTGCATCACGTCGGCTCCGATCATTTCCGTCTCTTGTGCGACTCTCCGGCTCTCCTTGATCCTGCGAGCGGCAGTCGATTGTTATCTTCTCCATTACCATGATACACCACATGTGCAGTATTATCCTCGTCCTCATCGTCATAATCACATTAACCTCATCGTCTTTGTCATACAATAGTCGTCGTCGACATCATCAGCATCGTCATCAAACATCATTCAGTCTCGCATTCACCGCTGTGTTGACTTCTCTAGTCGCTCAGTAACGACAGACGATCTTGCTCGTTGTTCAGCCGACAGCGTAAGGTTGCCGCTGAACTTGTCGCCGTTGTTCTGATTGCGGAACAAATCATCTCTCTCCGCCGCTGACGTCACCTTTCTTTGCTGCAAGCGACATGATGCTATTTCAGTGGTGACATGTGCAGCAAGGTCGACAACCTTTCGGAGGTAACACGACAGAGTATCCTTGCACACTCCGATGTCTATCTTGTACTGCCTCAACCGATTCTCGCATGCCTTGCGAGTCTCTCCCTTGCAGCTGCTCCAGCAGCGAGTCAACATGATGACGATGCGATCAGGTGTCATACCTGCGTACTTCCATTCCTAACTTTCCCAAAACTTCCTCAGCGTCTTCCACGTTGTGCTTGGCCTTCTGATAGATCGAATTCCATTCGTCTGAGAGCAAAAATCACACGCGGCTGTACTGAAGGGGTTTCATGCACACCCGCGTTAGTTTGCTCTTGTTCTCCCAATTTGTTCAGACGATCTAGATGCAGATTGATTTCTCGCACGAGCGATTGATACCTGGCGGAGCGTGAGTGATGGAGCAAATGGACTCAAACAAGGCAGCGAGAGGAAGGAAAGGAACTTACTGCTCTTCATAAGCCTCAAGGAGCGCCATGGTTTCGTTTCAAAGCAACAGGACCAGACTAGAACCAAACTTCGTGAAGCTCTTGTCTCTTAGAAAGCAGCAGCATGCTGATCCCCTAAAGAGATAATTATTCAGCCGTGGCAATTCAAGTCGATCGGTTTCAAAAAGGTGCAGGTAGAGAAGGATATCACAGACTGAAACCATGGCCTGCTTTTATCTATCTGACATCTCTATGAACACTTCTGTGGCCAGATGAAAGCTCTCATGCAATGCAGCAACGCTGTTTTGCACTTGTTCTATACACAGCGCTTCAACATGCTGCCAAAAGCAGAACAATACTTCAATGCAGGCAGCTATGATGTCAATAGCTTTGTTTCATCAAGATGAAATGCAGGCAAGCTATGGGATGCTAGTTGATAGGATGCACATACATTTGATGGAAGTTGTTGTCATGCCTGAAACACATCAAAGGCATTCATGCGTCGAAGACAGCGACGAGAGTACGTGAGAGTTGGTGTGGTTGTTATGGTAGTGAAAGATCAGTAGGAGGATGAAAACGCAACAATGAAGATCACGATGGTGTTAGTGGCCATGTTGAGAAGGGAGGGGCGCGGAGGAATCCGCCCCAGGCCTCCATTCCTCCCGCACGGTCGATGGCATGAATGACGATGGTGATGTTAGCTGGTTGGCCCGGTGCTGTGAGGCGGTTTGCTATACAGTAGGTCCAAGGAGGGCGACAATGGCGTTGCTATGATAGTTGTGCAGTTGGCTGCCATGCAGGCCGGAGGAGCTGAGGATGCGGCTGCTGCTGCGCGTGTGACAGCATCGCAGTTCGCTGCAAGGGCTCAACGAGAAGGAGCGACGGAGGGGAAGATGAGGAGCGAGGAGGAGCAGTCGTTCCGTGAGCTCAAGTATGAGGAAGCCATCAAGGTAGAGAAGCTGCTGGGGGATCTGAAAAAGTTGGAGCAAGAGGAAAGGTCGCTTTCCATCGACTTCGAGATGGAGCGAAGAAGAAGCATGTCTCGTCCACCTGGCCTCCAGCAAGACAACAGGTGACTAGCGAACCGAAGCTCGTGTGCACTTGACAGTTGCTTCCCGCGTTGCTCCATCCAGGTACGCGGAGATGATGGCAGCCAAGGCAAGCAAGCTTGAGAAGCTGAGGAGGCAGCGACAGGATCTGATGCTGGAGAGAGACATCATCGACTCAGACTTAGAAGGCATCAAGACCGACAAGCAGGTCAAGCCTCGTCCACCTATCTTGCAGTCCATGCAGCGGCTGTTCCCGGATAGAACGGAGAAGCTTCGCGAGACTGATCAGGTGCTGGATGAGAACATTCTTGACAAGATACGTCAGATGCAGCCAAACTCTCGTGAGGTCTCGTCGCTGCTGAAGACCATGGAAAGAGACAAGCAGAGGCTCTTGCAGCTGCACAGGGAGCACAACCTTGTCTTGGATGAGATTCAGAGCCAGGACAAGGGGGAAGCAATCGCCCAGTCAACGATCGAGATGCCAAGCAAGAGGTACCTGGAAGAAGCTCGCGAGCGGCTCATGGTGATCCTTCCCATCCTCTCCCTCACCCTCACCCCTGCTGAGCAGCAGGAGACACAACAACCTCCCGCACGGTCGACTCTCCTCCCCCCCATACGAGACGCCAAGGACACCTCTCCTGCGCAGGAGCAGGAGGGGCAGACGACCAGCCTGAGGCGTCCTCTTCCTCCGCCTCCCCTACAAGAGTCCTGGCCTGTCGACCACCTGGAAGCGAAGGTCGCAGAGGACTCGCGCAGGCCTGCAGCTTCCATGGTAGGGAGAGCGAGCGAGACGAGGATGATGCCGAAGCCAGCAAACCTGCAGACGCCTCTCCCGGCCCTTGCACGTCCCTCATCCTTGCAAGAGGAGATACGGCAGCTGCGAAACGAGTACCTGCTGCAGGGAGGACGCAATCAGAGCTTGCTGGAGGCCATCGAAGCGCTAGAGCGAGAGGCAGCACTCGCCCAGCTACCTTCCTCTAGACCCTCGCATCCGCCTGTGCGTACAAGCTCTGTAGGTCAGGGAGCTCAGAGAGGAGACGAGAGAGTTCCTGCCTGGTTCTCAGAGGAGATGTCAAAGTTTGAGCAGTACATCCAAGAGAGGAAGGCAGAAAACATGAAGCTGAAGGCTCAGCTGGAACATGTGTCAGGTCGCTCAGCCGTGAGTATCGAAGATCTTCCTGCTGTTGGTGAGTGACTCTGTGCCTTCAGCTTGCGACGGACAGGACCGAGCGCAAGGACGAGGTCTCCTTCCGCATCCCACTGATGGAGGAGGAGGAGGAGTTGAGACAACTGGAGATGCTACCCAAGAGCAGTGCGATCTACGACATGAGGAAACAGCACCTCAAGGAAGTCATCGAGATGAAGTACAAGCTCCAACAACTGAAACAAGAAGCAGAGAAGACCGAGCTTGAGAACCAGGTGCATCGCTCGGAACCAGACAAGCTTGTCAGTGACTGATGCATGCAGATTGAGGAGCAAAGAAAGGAGCACGAGCGACGCAAGTGGGTACTGATGCAGCAGCAGCAGCTCCTCGAGGCCAAGTACCGCAAGCACTTTGCCAGAGAGAACCCGATCGAGTCTCTTGGCGGCAAGGAGGCGCAGAGTGAGGCCTACAACTTCGAGGCCGGGTTTGCTGTCTTCTTCGACTACATCCTGGGCCTGCCGACCAAGGTCAACAATCAGGTCCAAGTTGTCTTCGGGTTCTACCTAGGACAGGAGCCCAAGACGTCTCCCAAGGCTCTGCCGATGACTGACGTCGACGTCGTCGGCATCAGCAGTCGGAGAGCCGTGCTCGCGCTGAAGCGGCAGTTTATGAAGGTGTCGCCCAACTCGAACCTGAAGCTCATCGTGGAGGTTCAGTCCGTCAACCCTGCGACCCTCGGCAAGGGCCCCAAGATGGTTCCCATCGGCTGGACCATGCTGCCTGTCTTCACCGACGACGACCTCAACCGGGGCTTGTTTCGAGTCCCAGCCTTCATGCCGCCCGTCCGACCAGACCTGGAGAAGGATGACGTGGCAGGGCTGTACAGGATGAAGGGGATGGAGTTCTACCTCCGGTTGGTTCCCCGCCAGCTCCTCCCATTCCACGACAAGTTCACCGTCAACCCCGAGACCACGCAGGTCCAGTACAAGTACCCCAAAGGCCTCGCTCCTCCTGCCGCCGAGCCTCCCAGACCCCTCAAGGATCACTTTGTCACTCCAACCAGCAAAATCGACGCGTCGCCGGGGCAGATCACCAGGAGCTTGTCGAAGCCTCGGCCGGCCTCGAAACTCGAAGATTCTGGTGCTGCCTCCCTTCACAGCGCAGTAGCTCCAGCCCTTGAAGAAGTGGAGCCGGCATGGCCTCTGATCACGTTCTGCGTCAACTTGCAGGAGCTTGACGGCTCTCTCTTTGAGAACTCACACTGCTCGAGCTTGTCCTTCTTCTTCTTCAAGATCAGCCTCGTCCTCCTCCAGGACGGAGCTGCTGAGATGGTGCCCTTCCAGTGCCAAGAGGTCCCAAGAGAGGCCGGGCAGCCGTCGGAGCTTCACTCCGGCACAATGTTCACATCGAGTCCTTGTGAGGTCGCCCAGGGTCCGGCGATCTCGTTGCAGTCTGCGATCTTGATGAAAGACATCCCAGTGAGGGAAAACCTGACGGTGATGATCGAGCTTGTGGGAGAGGTGTTGACGACCGGCGAGGAGAGGACTCGCAAGGAGCAGCCCATCGCCTGGACGTCGCACAGCCTCTTCAGGAGGGAGCTTGAGACAGAGCTGGAGTTGAACGAGGACACTTTCGAGACCCTTCTCCTCGTCCCTCCTCTGAGAGTGGACAAGAGCTCGGTGGACATCATAGAGGCTCAGAAGGAGCAGGCGCGCTTGCTGAGCATGGACGGTCTGTGCAACGAGTCGAGCGACATGTTTCTCAACAGCCCCATCCCCAGGATTGTCTTCTCCGTCTCCTCTGACTTGGGGGCTGTGCTGGGATCCTCCCTGCTACCTGCCGGCACGCAAGAGCTGAGTGATGCCGATCGGGATGCCCTCAGGATCTTCGACGCCTTCGACAGTGAGCCCTGGCTGCCCGCCCCCAAGCCGCCGCTGCTCAAGCAGGTCTTCACGCAGGACGACGGGTTCGACGTGTACGTCGACGCCGCTCGGCATCTGCCAGACAACACGACGCTCTCAGCGGTGACCTGCTTCCTCGCCAACAAGCACATGTCCATCACCGGCCAGTTCTGGAAGGAGGTCGACTGCCGTACCGCCGACCTTCACAACCCGATCTTCCTGGCGCGCAAGGAGTTCCGCAAGGAGGCCGGGCAGGAGTGGGACCCCACGCTGACGCTGGTGATCAGACTCGATGCGGTCGAGAAGCCTCCGGGCGAGAAGGCGGTCGGGGTCGGCATAGTCGGCTTCTCCCTCCTCAACATCTTCCTCGACCCGACGACGGAGCAGCAGCCCGACGACAGCAGCACGCAGGAGATGCTGCTCAATCAAGGGAGCTTCCAGGTCCCCGTCTACATGGTGGGACTGCACAAGGAGCAGCCGCTCTCTGTGCGCGCGATGGAGGAGGAGAAGCGAAGGCTCTGCACGACTCTTCTCATCCGCTTGATTCAGGCTCCTCGGGCCCCGGACGGGCTCTCAGTCCTCTCGTCGGCTAGTTACGGGTCCAACGAAGCGCAGATGAAGGAGGCAGGGCTGCTGGTCTGGCCGAAGCCGTATGCTCTTGGTCACTACTCCAGTGAGTCTTGCAGTCCGACAGAGCAGGAGAGGTACATCTACGAGGCAAGAGAAGTCGAGCCTCTGCCTACCATCGCTGAGTTGCAGACCATCCTTGAAATCGAGTTCACCGAGGAGGAGGTAGATGCGACAAAGAACAAAGATGTGTTCCTCCCGGAGAACTTCGAGGTCAACCTGAGCAACTTCCGGCAAGGTAGAACAATCCACAATTGTTGAGCTCTCTTGTCTTCTGAGATTTTGTTGCAGTCATCCGGAAGTACTTGAAAGGAAAACCAGCGACAAAGCTCATCGGCTCCAACTTCAACGTCCCTTACTTTCCCGAGAAAGGCTTTCACCTGTCTGTTGACGGCTTCGATATCACGGCGAGCGACGTGAACATCCTCTGGGCTGCTTGTCTCGTACGACTTCTCATGACCCTCACGACTGCCTCTGATCGTTGATCCCTCAGGTCTCCTCCTTCCCGCATGGCACGTACTATCACTCGGAGCATGCCATCACCAAGGATGTTGTGATCTTTGACGACCTGGACCTTGACTCGGACGTGCAATGCCCGAGGTATCAAGACGCCATGAAGAGCTTCACCATGCAGACCCTCAACGACAAGAAGATGTCGGCGATGATCATCGATGTTCGGGTGGTCGTGGATGCTGTGAGGGTGAAGAAGAAGGTTCTTGCTCTCGCTCCCTCGTCCCCTCCTGATCTCATCTCAGATGAAGATGTTGAAGGAGAGGAAGACTGTTCAGCTCGGATTCGCGATCATACCAGTGATCCACTCCAACTACGTCATGTCAGGAAACTACAGGGTCCCCGTGTACACTACGAGGTCGCAACCGTTTTCGTCCTACTTTGAGAAAGATCAATCATTGGACTCCGTGAAGGAGGGGCCAACTTCTCATCTGCTAGAGTTCATTGAGAATGGGGTGAAACGACGAGCGGTCGACAGCAGACTCGCTGATGATGCTGCGACAGGTCAACTTTTCCGATGTGTTGAATCAAGCGGCATCGAACAAAGAGATCTTCAGGGTTGAAGGCGCTTCAGTAGTCTGCAGAGTTGCCGATTGGGTGAGCTTATCAGATTTATGACGAGTCATAACTTCGATGCAGACGCGAAGGGAGGAGTACGCTTCCAGGTTCACCAGGGTCGGAGAGCCGAATCGGGTCAACCTCAAGTTGCTTCCCGAGGGCAAGGAGAGGTCTTACGTCTCCACTCCTGCCAAGTTATCTTTCGTTCAAGCGTACAAGAAACAGTGAGTCCTCTTGGCAACCGAGCGTCCCCCTCACAGCGCTGCTTGCAGGAAACTCGTTCCGGAAACCGTTGTTAACGAATGTCGCATCAAGGCGATGAGCGATCTGAACTTGCAAGGATGATAGATGTTGTATTCTTACTGTATGTAGTCTAGTCTGCTGCCGCTGCCATTGCTCTTTCCATCTTTCTATCTAACGCTGCCTTTCAATGTAAAAGTACTTGAAATCCTATTCTCACGCGAACAATTCTAACGAACGTAATGTACAAGGTTCTGAATGATCTGCTGGGGCCTCTCGTGTCCTCGTCAAGTTTTCAAACCTTGACTATGGTCTCTCACTGTTACCCGATCTTTCCGCAACACATCAACGCCTTCAACCCCTCCTTCCAATCTCCAATTTCCGACTTGCTCTCTCCCTAAGTTGCTACAGTCTGTCAGTTGCACTAAGTTGTTGGTTTTCAATCTGACATTCGAACTCAGTTCAACTAGTTTAGAGTCAAGTTTTTGACAAAACAAGAAAGCTTCATCGCCTGTTTGAACTGACATTGAGCAGTAGAAGGAAATTAAAAAGGAATAAAACAAACACGAGATTACGCTGAAAAATTCATACACTACAGTTATCAACGTTTTTCTTGTTCAGTAGTACTTCACTTGTTTTCCTTCCTTGAACTCCTTGAGCTTTTCTTCATAGCGCTGGAAACGAGTGTCATAGCAGATTAACATAAAGAGCACAAGAGATACCGCAATGTTCTGTTCCGTCCAAACAGCAATACACTGGAAGGAGTAAGCTCCAATACCAGCAAGCAGGAAGTGCTCCCATGGTTCTGCCCAATAATTCAGCGAACGAAAGATATCTTGAGGTGATCCAGGAAACAATGTGCAGGACAATTCAAACAATAGGATGAGATTTGTGCATATTCATTATGCAAACTCTCCGTTTCTGCTTCGATATGACCGCTTCCACAGTCTTGGAAGTCACTATAAAAAGCTTGCGAGAGATTCGGAATACATCCAACAATACGAATACAATTCCATACACATACAGTATCATTGACAATGTCCCTTACAGCAACACATAAAGTCCTTCACCCTCAAATCGCGAGCTTTCATCACACAGTTGAAGCATCTTGGTGCTTAATGTCATGAACAACAGCCATAGCAACGAGGTGTGAGAGGGCCGAAACGAGCACATGTCATAGTCTTACGTCTCAAGAGAGAGACTCTTCGCAGTGAGTTGCTGTACAGCTTCACCAGCACCCCAAACGTCGCGCCCATCAACATTTCTCCAGCCATCCTCGCCGCTTCTGCTGATCCCCACCCCACCCCTGCCCTCAATTTTCCTCAAAATCGCCCTACCCACGTGTGGCTGTCTGATCACCCCTACCCTGCGAATTACCCTGATATACCCCCACAACCGGCCTTGCAGACCCCCAAGATCACCACGACGGGTGGTATCTGGCTAGAAACAAAACACCCACCCTGATGTCGTGGGACCCACCCTATTACATTACAGAAACTAATAGATCTATGGGTGGGTACTTGATGGACTGAAGTATACTTTATACTCGTCCAGGTATAGCGCATACTTCCAAGTGTCGGGAGGAGGAATGTTGGTTCAGCTGTGGGGACCGAGCCGGAGGTATGAGCTGAGAGGAGCATGAGGATGAAGACTTGACCCCGAAACACTGCTACACCCATCATGACATGTCTACTCCCATCATGACATGTCTTCTCCCATCATGACGTGTTTCCTTTTACGTAGTCCCGACGATGATGTTGAACCGTACGCCTTCAATTTCAGAGCGTTGATCCGAGGGGTTCCTACATACGAGGAGATGCAGGTGTGAGATCCTTGGCTGAGCTTCGTGACCTTGATCCTTGACATTGGCAGGAGCATGGAAGCAACTGGGTGGTAGACCAGTTAAAGTCGTTGTGCCATGGCCATGTCGCAGGTGTTTGATTGGGAAGGTGTCGAAACAAAGTGACAAACCTGCAGGGTGTGCGTACAATGACTTTGAGGGACCAGGGAGAGCCGGCGGATGGAACATTGATTCCTGAATGACTGGAAAAACGTAGCATGGTTATCATGGAGCCTCCTCTTTGTTGCATTATCAGATACCTACCTAACTGCAATCCGAGCATATACGAGCACAATGAGACTCATCCCAGCAATGATTCAAGGAAAAAACAATAGTTATTTATGTTTTTGAGAACGAGGCGTATCCCAGTACAAACAAGCTTGAATCTGAATACAGCTTCCAGTCAGCTTGAGTGCATAAATCGTGTGCATGTTGTACCTCTATTCTGTGTTGAATGTGAGGCAGCCTTGATCAAAGCAGGCCCAACGCGCACTGCTTTGGGACTGCCCGTTCCAGATATCGGCATAGTTTCTTGTTTGTGTTTGTTTTGTGAGCTGCAAGGAACGTCAATGCAATGCCAGCCCGCAGTCCAAGAAAACTCCTTACCATTGGTTAGGAGCGTCCATGATCCGTGTGATTGCGTTGCCAAGAGATTCGTTTGAATCTCGGATCCTGTTTGCAGACTGCATGCGAGACATTGATACAGAAAGTATTTGCTGCTGAATGGACTATCTTACAAGTCAGAGGGGTGTGTGAGAAGAGGAAAGCACCTCAATGTTCCTGGCCTGCAAACAAGGTCCAAACTCCCCCGCATGTTTCAAGGAGCTCCCGACGCGCTTTTTTCCCTGTCTTGAGGCTTGCCTCTGGTGTTGTCCATCACAGACAGCCTGGAGAGAACGATCTCAAACACACTGACCTCCCTGGTGCTCGGACGATCTTTCAGCATCTCCGTTACATCCCTTGCTGAGTTTTGTGCCGCCCTAAGTCGTGGAATCCATTTGTGCCCATGGAAGCGACTTTCAACATAGTCTGTCATGGCTGCTGCTCAGGAAGAAAATCTTCTTACCTGTTCCGAATGAGAAAGCTCGGATGACGGTCATGGTGCCTACAATCCTATCAGCGCTAAGAACTTCCTGTGGTGCTTTCACCCACATGTTAGTTGAGTTGGAGTTTTCTATCCTCAAGTCTAGGATTTGAACATTATGGTCGAACTTTGCGAACTGAGCACAGCACACAGTATTAGCCCAAGTAAACCGATAGCAACAAATCATTTCGTTAAAATAGCACAGAGGCAGGGGGTTTACCTCTTTCGTTTGACGAAGGACTGATGGTGCAGAACCGATTCTCTGTGGAGTCATTCGAATGTTTCCCTGGAGCTTGTTGGACCGTCCAGTATGTCTTGCAGCGCCGAGCTGAGACTCCGTGCACGTATAATCTGCAAGCACGATCATGCTCCATGGCACTAATGCGATCCTCATGCCGCCTCTCTTCTTTCTGTCCTCTTCCTTGAGATAGTATCTAGTTTCCTTCCAACCATGGAAGCGTCTCACTCCGCCTAGCTTCATCCTCGTGCTCTCTCCCTCTATCTATCCCTCACGCATGGCTGATAGATCTGAAGAAAGTGAGGGAGGAACCAGCATTGGAAACTTCACTATGGGTGGGGGGTGGGTTGAAGGTACAAGCAAACAAATGGGGGTGATGATAGAATGAGGGTGGGGGTACTGGTGGTACCAGACCCGGCCGGGTGTTTTCTCTCTGAATGTGGGGTAGGGGGCACCAGGATCAGTGGGAAATAGGGTATGGGGGCCGGTCCAGGACCACCCACCCCTGATTGTGGCTGTCATGATAGCAGGGCCGGCGAGGGAGGCCCGGGCCACACGACTACGGGTACCTCAGAGCCTCTAAGTCACCTCCCCGTGACTACCGGTCACGGTAAGGACCGTACTGCCGCCGGTACCGTGGTCAGCCCCTGCCGGGTCCGATCGGGGTACCGTAGTACGGGTTGGCGGACTCAGTCTAGCCCAAAAGTTAACAGGTGACTAAAAGTTTCAAAGCCCCCAGCCCTTCTTTACTCAAAGTTAAGTTAAAAATCAGTACAGGCTTCAAGGCTTAATAAAAGTGACCCTGACCGTTCCGAAGGCCCGCCACCGTGGCAAGGACGGTACAACTTAGGCATCTTCAGGCCTGGCACTCCACTGAGGCCTCCCGGGTCCGACCGGGATATTCAGCTCACAAAAACCCTTTCACCCCGGGCCCCGTTATCGGCGATGCCCGCTGTCAGCATCACTGATGATGTAGCCTGCTACAACAATCATGGGCCAATCCCTCCGTGCTCTTACCTCCTACAATGTCTGCTACGATGTACTCTCCGGTCATCACATCCTCTAACCCACCAGCTACGTCCTCATACATGGCTCCATGTCCTCATCATCCGCCACGCCCTTCCCAGGCTCTGTCTGGGCCCTCAGCGCAGCCTCGAGCTCCTCCAGTCCCTGCAAACCATGGTCATTATCCTTCACCCTCTCCTCCCTGCCTCCCTGCCTCCCTGCCTCCCTGCCTTGCTTCTTCAGAAGAGGTCCGCTGTCACCGGCAGATCCTCCTCCCAGCCCCTCCGTGCACTCACCTCCTGCTGCCGCCCTATCACCGACCCCGGACGTATCAGCCGCATCCATCCGATCGCCTCCCTCGCCCTCATGCCGTAGGTACGCATCATGTACGCAGCTGCCGTGACCCCCCCTCGCTCGTCAGCTCCTCTCTCCTCCCGCCACCCTAGCCCGCCTACCTGCCGCGGTCCCCGTCTTCCCCAGCCCGTGCTCGCAGTGCACCGCCCCCGCCCCGTGTGTCCCGTCCACGGCCTTGACCAGCCGCCTCACCGCCACCAGTGACGGCGCCTCCCAGTCCTCGTCGGCGAGGTCGAGCACCTCGATCCCGCAAGCCTGTCCGCCCCTTCCCCGTCAGCCTCAGCTGAGCCCCTCCGGCT